CGCGCCCGGGGGGCGCTCGGCGGCGGGGGACGGGCGGGGCGGCGATGAGCGACGGCGGCTCCAGGTAACCCCGGCCGGGCGGCAATGAGCACCGCGGCTCCGGGTAACCCCGGCCGTGCAGCAATGAGAGACCGCAGTTCCAGGTAACCTCGGCCGGGGCGGTTCCAGATAACCCCGGCCGGGCCCTGCGGCCGCCGGCGAAGCGCGGTGCCCGTGGCCGCGTCTGCGGCGCCCCGTCTCCTCCCGACGATGGGAGGATGGCGCCGCGGGCAGAGCCGGGGTGCGCCGGTGCCGGGGCTGTCTCTGCGTCTCCGGGGTGCCGCTGCCGTCAGTGACACGTGTGTTGCCGGGCAGTCGGCGGTGGCCGGAGCCCGGTGTCCTGCGGGAAGGATTCCCAGAGCCGCAGAGCCGCAGCTGAAGTTGTGTCAGCGCCGGCACCGGCCATTAGCGCGGCCGCGGTGCGTGTGTTCCCCATCTCCCAACAATGCCGCCTCTGGGCTGCGCTTCTGCAGAGGAGTGAGAAATTCTGGGCTATAAATAGCACTGGTGAGAGAAGGTTTTTTTTTTTCCTTTTTTTTTTTTTTTTTTTTTTTCTTTTTTTTTTTCTTTTTTTTTTTTAATACTCGTTATTGGCAACGCGTATCCGATTGACCTTGGCACCTGCCAAGTTTTTTCCCGAAATCCCTTCAGGGAAGGGTGGTCTCTCTCTGTGCGTGCATGGTGGTGCCTGATGCCACACTGGAGCTGGTCCCTGTGCTGGGTTGTCCCTTTGTCCCAGACTTGTACACCAGCCAGCCGAGGAAGTGCTCCAGCGTGATGTCTGGCCGCTCCAGGCTTCCCTCCTCCGGCGGGGGGGTGCACTCGGCACGAGTGGCCCCTTTTGCTGGTCATTGAGGCAGTTTTCACATCCAGTTTTCACCGATGCCAGAAAACGAGCCTTTTAAATATAGCGAGGTGTTTAACGTGGAAAGCTGAGGGAATTCAGGCAGGAGAAGCCATGGCTTCAAAGCGAGCAACATCTGAAAGAGATGGTGGGCCCAGGCTGGGAAGAGCGGGGTTGTTTGGGGCCCTGCAGCCCGAGGGGTGTTGAGGGGCTGGATTTTGCCTCTCCCCGGGCCCTTCCGTTTGTGGGGTGGGCACAGCGTGTGCCGGGAGTGAACAGCCTGAGTGTCTGTGTGGAGGGTTTGGCAAACCCCCTTAAGGGCTCCGTGCTGCTGATGCCCCACCTGCCCGCCTCCGACCCGGGCAGGGCTGCCCGAGAGGGGACGCTGCTTTCTCTTGTCTTTCTGGGCACGGTCGGGGATGCCTGCACAGGGAGCCTGGAGGCCGGAGATCAGCACGGGCTTTGCTGAACGACTCTCGGGCTGACATGGACCGCCTCGGAGCGAGCCTGTCGGGAGGGCCGGAGCCAGGCCGCTGCCTGCCTGCCCGAGCGGGAGAGGGAAGAGCACGCTGCGGCCGGAGGGGTGATGAGCCCGGCTTCCCTGGCTCCTCTCTTGGGAATCCGCCTTCTGTGTGGCTGTCAGGCGGGGAGGAGGGGCTCGGGCGCAGCTCCGGAGCCACCCGGGAGGAGGACGCTGTGCCGGGGGAAGTGGAAGTGTGGCACATGAGGAGCCTCGGCCTTCCAGTCACAGGTTACCCAATGATGTGAGCAGAATGCGGAGTCAATTAGGGGTCGGGGGAATGGGTTGCAGGCCTGGGACGTGGACTGGTGCGTTGTTCAAGGCCCAGGAGTGAAGGTTGCCATGGCAGGTTATGTGCACAGAGGGGAAGGATTGCCCTGAGCCGGGTGTTCTGCAGTGAGCATAGGCTGGTGAGGGGGGGTGATGCTTGTGGCTGTATGGAGCTGCATGGGTTGGAGCTGCATTCCTTGAGCATGCAACTGGGCAGAGGAGCTGGGTGCAGGCTGGTGCAGGGGGCTGGGGGCTGGCTGGCTTCATAGGTGGGGGGCTGCAAGCAGCTGCCTCTGGGCTGCAGAGGAGCTTGTACTCTGAACCAAGATATGCGTCGATGGCATTTCTTCACTGAGTGACTCTGGACAACTAAAAGTAAGTCTCAGGAGCTCCTGTTACAGGATTAAGTTTCAGGCCTCATGGGCCACCACTTGTAGCAGCAACAGTTTGAGAGACAGCTGTGGCAGCAGTGCTGCAGGAGGCAATACCCAGGGTGATCTGCTTTGGTTGTCACAGGCCCTGATCTTGGGCCTCATTCACCTCAAGGCTCTAACACAAGTGTGCTGCCCTTTTGTAGGGACTGATGGGGGCTTTGTGCCCTCTAAACTATCTCTCTATCAGCGAGACTGTGTAGGAGGGTTTCCCCAGAAGTTTGAGAGCATTTTACTGCTGACTGCAGGGAAGAGAGCTTTACCTTTCCAGGCAGACTGTTGACAGGGCAATTCCTCTGTAAGGAGCTGACCAAAACTCAGAAAACGTGTGGAAGTTGGAGTCCAGATTGTCTTGTGTGTCTTGAGCTGACTCACAAAGACTAGAAAAACAAAATTGGGCGCAAGAGGTTGTCTTCCTCCAACCCCCTGCATTTCTTTGCAAGTTTTGCACATACAATTACAGGGATAGATCAGACACATTGAACTCTACAATGTATTTTTGGCCGTAGCAAATCTGACTCTTGTGTTAGCTATTTTCTGGCCTGGCAGCATTTGCTCCTAGAGGAGAGCTGGTTTGTGGGATAGTCCCATTTTCAGTTCCTGTTCCCTTTGCCTGAAGCTTTCTTCTCTTTTTCTTTTAATACTTTAATTGTGACTGTGGATCCAAGTGTCCCTGGAGCTGCCTGTGTTCTGGGATCAAAACCAGCTGGGAATCTGAAGGTCTTTCAGATCTGCCTGCAGCTCCTCCTTCATTTTAGCCATGCCTGCACAGAACCGGTCGCAGGGGAGATGTTGCCAGATTTGGCTTCCGCTGCCTCTCTGGTTGAACTCCCTGTGACTTTGGGACATTAAGAGTGGTGTCACTTTGTGCTTCTCTGGTTTGAGTACTGATTTCTGTTCTTGCTGTGCTGCACACTAGGCAGGCAGAACCCACTGTGATCTTCCTCTTTCATTACCATCCTTAGCTCAAAGGTGCCTGAAGCTTTTCTCTGGCAGCTTAATGAGGAGGGCAGCGGTAGAAAGGAGAGAGAAGAATATGAATTAACTTTCACCTGCAGAAATAAACTTTTTCATTCGCTACTGCTATTTTGTGTTTAGCTAGCATTTTCTTCCTGTAGCTCTACTTTGCTTTTTACGTTTCAGACGCAAATAGTTGAGCTTGTGGATCTTCCCTTATGTTGGCTTTGATTTTCCTGTTACTTGAAGAATGGCATTAGGCTGAGTGGTAATTAGTAGGTTTCACTGAGCCAGGGTCAACACAGTTAGAGACACTGATATGAATGTCTTCTCTCAGACCTGCTGTCGCTGGTTGTCTCCTGCTCCTAGCAGTAATTTTATAATGGAAATATATTATAAAAGTATGTGGTTTGCTAGTGGATATTCTCAGTGCTTAGAGTTCTGGAGATTGTTTCCAGGCGAACATCAGCAGCTGTGGCTTGTATGCAGTGAACAGCAAGTGTGTCACTGTGCTTTGCTGGAGATCGCCGAAGGACTTTCATTTTGCGTGTTTGGTTGCACTGCTCCAACTTAGCTCTGACAAGCTAAGTTGGCTTGCTAGGTTTTAAGTTGGCTTCCTAGGTTTTCTGGGACAGGGAATTGGGCTGCAAGGTGGCACTCACTGCCTTGGGTGGTGTGGGATGTGGCAGGTTGGGTGCACCTTGCTTTGGGCAAGCACCATGGCAGCCGCCTGGCAGTGCCGCTGATGGGCATCCAGGAGGCTGAGATGTTGTTGATGCAGTTTCATGTCCCCCTTTTCTGGAGCTCTTGATCCCGGGAAGCCCTGGGCAGGGGACAGACAGGCCTACAAGCACTCCAGGTCGTTGGCTTCTGGGTTGGGAGGATCTTTGTGTCAGCATATGGCACCAGCCCTACCTGCAAGTCTGGCTCTTGGAGCACTGGGCTAGGTTCACCTCCAGGTACTCTGATGTCCTGTCTTGTATCATTCTTCCAGAGGCAGACTTGGAAATCATGTCCCTCTTAAAGAGGGGCATGTCCTGCTCAGTTAGGAAACCTCTGCTACGAATGTTGCTTTGTTTTGCTCTAAAGACTTACTGTTAGGGCTGTATGCATTGAGTGTTCATGGGTAAAATAGTGTTGTTATATATTCAGTGTGCTCGTTTCCCAACATTAGTTTTATTGTCAGTTGCTTATCTAGTAGTGTACTGAAAGATGTAACTGAGTCTGGAGTGAGGCAGAGCAAAGCACATCTCTGTCCTGGAGTCTGTGCTTCCAGTTCCACAATTGGAATAGTATTCAGTGCCTCCACGTGCTGGATGTGGGGCTTGGTGTGGGGCTCTCATACAGCACTGTAAGGGTCAAAGCTGGGGAATGGCAAAGGTAAGGTTGGATACACATCCTTTGCTCTTCTCTGGTCATATGTACTGTGTATTGCCATCAGAAGCAAATTAAGGCTTTGGATCAAAAACATACTCAGAGAATCTTTGGGTAATTTCACGTTTGTTTACTGACCCAGTGGCAAAAGTGTGCTTTCTCAGGGAATGGAAACAAAGATTTGGATGTGACCCTTTGACTTCTGAGAGTGACACCTGGCATGTGGACCACTGAGCTCTGTGCTGTGGGCCAGCTTGCGGCTCATGGCACGTGCTTCACTTTGCCACAGCTCAGGGTACTGCAATGTCATTTTTGTCCAGCCATAGATCTCCATAAACTGAAACAAACTGCCATTTCAACATTGCAGTATGGCACAGGCTCCAGAGCCAAACCATTCTCATTTCCTTTCTAATCCTCAAGTGTTGAAAATGCTCTGGCACCTTAGCAGGCTCAGTGTTGCTCTGCAGGGAGTATGCACAGTTCAGTGCATGTGACGAGGGCAGTACTAAAATGTTTTCTTGCTGTATCACCTGGGTGGACTCATTTCTCCAGACAGTGTTGTTGAAGGGGCAGCAGCTGTACCCCCCCCAGCCTCTGTCCATTTGCTGGCATCAAAAAAATCAGTTTCCCTATTTAGAAAGGGCACTGGAAAGTACTTCTGTGTGTCTCTTGAGGGGAGTGAAAGGCCTAATGTTTTCCATTTTCTGT